GCATTTATATTGCAACTATTAATATAAAATTTGAGTAGGTAGGTAGCTACTGAAATTTGAAAGTATAATTTAGCGATTAGCACAAGAAGAATGTACGATTACGATTTACGCCTATTGTTAAACTTGGTCAGTACAAGAAATTTAAATCAACTTTTATATTTATAAAGTTTTTGTGTCTTAAATGATAACAAAATATAATTTGAGATAGGAATCTTTTTAGTTGAACTATATATAACATTAATATAATTTCTCCATCGTTAAAAGTCATGGCGAAAAACTGTCATTATTCGTTGTTGTTACAGCCAATATTAATGGAATCCAAACCGTTTGAAAATATTGACAAAAGAACGGGGAATTTGCTGTGCTATATAATAGGCGTCAAGTGTACCTCGAATTGAGCGGGTCGCTGATGTGTTAAATTTGAATTAAATGATAAATAATTGTATACGAAAAACATAATTATAAAGCATAATTATTTTTTCCATCAAGTTATATAATATGGTATATATTTCTATATTATTAGGTTGAGTAAATATTATCAAAAACGCAAAAAAAATAGCATCTATTACACTATAATTATTAAAATATTGTAAGCTATTACTCATAAGTTTAAGTCTAAGGTATCTAAACTAATTCAATTAATATACAAGTTAAACAAGTAAAATCCCTGAATAATTCTTTAAATACCCTGTGTATATTATTTAAACATATTACATAAAGTAGTTAAATAAGCATTCAAGTTCATTATCGTATTGTAAATAAAACGTGAGTCGTATATATATATATATATATATACATATATAAAGGCATATAGTAACAATATAGGTACCTATATATCAAGAATAATATACAGTTATTACTTATAAAACTAAAAACGCTAACTGAATTGACCAGATTTGCTCGTGAACAAAATTTCCCAATATGAGGCTATAGGAGCGGTTGAGGTATGAAATGTAATATTATCAAATATAACAAATAAATCAAGATAATACAATTTAAATTGTTTATTTTTTCATGAAGAGCAAAATGTATTCCGCAATGTTAAAAAAAAATCTGATACACATGTCATTTTGGCTTTGTTTCTCATGTGTCAAATTGATTTTATGAAGTTTTCGAATGAAGTTTCGATTCATATAATATTATAGTAGTTTATAATGTTTATATGGCCTGCAATCAAATAAAATAAAAATAAAAAGTTTTGTAACTTGCCAGACGTAGTTGAGATTACTCACTAAACTTTGCTGGTATTATTGGCTTGTGTAGTTTTTGAGTCAATAAACTATAACTATACACACATTGCCTTTTATACATCACATACAAGATCTCAACAATTATCATCACATTAGAAGAACATTTTTGAATAGAACTCTGTAACATATTATAATGTAAAACTACATTTGCTTGTCGTTTAAAAAACTTACAAAAAAACCTTAACTATTAATTTTAGAGAAACTATAAACCAAAAGTCAGTCACATCATAATAAAATTATAAGTCTCATCATTCCTCCCACAGAACTTGAGTCTCATGAAATGTCTTTTATAACAACAAATATAATACTATTCACGTTTTCAAGCTGCTTGTTTAAGAATACTATCCAATTTGATTTTAACTTCACATAGCAGCTGTGCTCTTTTTATCATAACTACGCATTTCACATAGCTGTGATAAAAAGAAAATATATTATGATACAATATAGATTCACTTCATGAGTATATTATAGACGTATAATTTTTATAAAATGATGAAGTAATTTATTCGATTATTATGTCATTGCCTGTTTGGAATATTGAGAACGTATATATCTGCAATCTACTTAACAAATAATTAATAAACTTTAATAATAACTAATAAGCACGTTTGTAATGCAAGTACATATAAATAATGTAAAATATAATATTATACTACGTTGGTATGCAGCTACCAAAATACTGCACGTTAGAGCTGACGACACGTACTTCTTTTAAATTCACTAAAAATAAAAATATCCAATTATAATATCATAAAGATGAAAAAGTTTTACATCAGTATCATTCGTTGATTGTATAATATCATTTTACATTAGATGTCAAAGGGATTTTTTTTTCGTAAAAACAAACACAAAAGAACCAAATGGCTATAGCGAGTGGCGAGTTAAACTAATTACGTAGCGTTGTATAAACTGATTATAATGTGAAAACAAACTCGTAAGGAAAACTAACTATCTACTGGATGTTTTTCATTATAATTTATGTAACTGTTTTAAAACGTGAAAACGAAATAACGACGTCAATTAAAACCTTAGTGTGTGGCGTATTGTTCTATAGACTTCTATAATAATAATACTGAATGTAATAATATGTACATTAAACTCTCTTGGCGTCCGATGTGGTTTTCTATTTCATTTTTCTTAATCTATTATTTGCTTTTCCTAATCTAGATTATACAAATCAATAAGCTTAATGCACAAAATCTATTTCATATAATTATCTCAGGATGTCAAATACAAATATAATTGTTATGTAATAATTTATTAATGAACTCGATTATTTTAATCCTGGTGCGGTTGATAAAATAATAATAATTTTATTATAATGTAAGTTTGTTTTTGAATTAAAATTGTTTATAAAAACATAAATATTATAAATTCAAAACAAATATTATCCCTCGTATTTCTTTTGAAGTAAAGAAGGAAAATTCTCATAATATTTATGGATACATTGTAAATGCTAATTGTAATAACACACGTTCAGGTTTACGTTTTTATATCGAACTAACTTTTATTATACATTCTTAAACCATTTTTAGGTTATCTTATCATTACAATGTTATCACATCATTACACTAATAAAATTGGTTTGTTCAAAAAATTCAAACAAACGTTTACAATATAATTAAGGCAAATCAATTGAAATAATTAAACACAAAATGGTTAATGTTAATATTTAATACTCAATTTACAATTACCACAAATATCTGGATAGAAAATTAAATTATTACTAAAATATATTAAATATTCTATGGTTTAAGTGAAACGTTAACAACTAGACTTTATTGAGTCTCAGTAAAGTATAACATGGATAAATTCAATGAGACCATGTTAAATTTAAACTTATTTACAATATGCTTTTACATGTTAAAATAATCTCTGTATTAGTTCGATTCCATATTATAAAATTGAATTATAGTTCATTCAATATTTTTAAATTATACTAAGTTTGGTAATCTTAATTATTAAATACTGGCAGGTTACAGTTTATCTACTGTGATAAATCGGTTTTGGAGTCTTAAGGTTATAATTTTGGATTCTGAGAGGAATGTTTAGGATTTATAATGATGGTGTGTGTGTTTTTTCAATGTTGTTTGTGGCATTAGTGATGACTAATCACGTAGTGGAGCAATAAAAATGCTTTAATCTGTTTCTTTGCGAGTGGATTATGGTAGGTAATTGGATCTATATGGTTAGCAGGTCAGTTGAGAGGTAAAAGGGGAAGAATGTAATATATCTTTTAAAATAATTGAGAACAACTGGGGAAGTTGATTTGCTTATGAATAAGTCACGGTAACATTGTATGTTCAGCTTAATATAGGCTAAGTATAAAATTTTGAAAATTATATTTTTATTAAACGTTAATGTGAAAATAATAATATATAGAGTGATTCATCAAGCATGCTCACCCCCCCCCCTCTCCCTTATTTTCCTTTGATGATGAATTAATTCAAATTCTGATTTTTGAAATGTTTAAATATACTCAAAGATCATTTTTTCCAATTCTTGAATTTTTCGTACTTCTAAAGGAGTGTGCTGTGGTGAAATAAACTTGTGTTTTTTTCAAATGAGAAGCCCCTCTTTTTTACTGTAAACTATTTAATAGAACACTTTTTTGAAAATGTTGATGTATCTAATTCAAAATTTGTACCTGTTTCTTAAATATTAAAATGTTTGAACTAAGAATAATAATCCTTAATAATACTATAGCCCAAACCTCTTGCAAACAATACAAACCCATAATATTGGACCTATGATTCTTAGTAATCAAAGTTCAATAACTCAAAAACTACTCGTACGAATTCTGATTATGATACTTCATTTTCAGAAAATTATTCTTTATAAATAATTTAAGTAGAAAATTTAGGATAAGCAGAAGTATGTTTGTGTATCCACAGGAAGCTCTTTAAGTAGCACTAAAATCTCAAGAATTTGAAAATTTATATGTGTTTGAAAATTGCAAAAAATCAGATTTTAAAAACATTATTAAAGAAGAAGCGTGTGGCATGTTTGGTGATCACCCTGTATATTTGGGCAAACATTTTCAATCAATTAATGTTTTTTTGACTACTAATACCCTTACACAGTTTTTGTTATTATTGATCATAAAATATTATTATATCAGTCCTGGATACTGAAACTGAACCGTTATTAATTATTATACGTTTCAAATTTAAATATCTATTGCGATGAAATAAATATTGATACTTCATGCGAATTTATGTTTTTTATTGATTCAAATAAAAATATGTTGAATGTTTTTGAAAATAATTTATTTGGACAAACAATACTACCTAATTTTAAAAAATATGGTTAGTAATTAGTAATTACTAATGTTCAATAGTAATATAAATAAAATATAAGTTATATCCTTAGCAATAGAGTCTGTGTCAGCCAAATATCTCTATTTAAAACAGGTTTACACATGCAATCATATTATATCATTGAATTAAAACTAAGTAGGTATGCCCAACAATAACCTACACAATGGTTTATGGTACCTTCGAAACCTATACGATACATCAGAGCGTATTTTCCGGATTTGTTGTTACTTTAAAGTTGTTAGTGATACAAATTATTTATTTTATTTCCTATATTCAAAATATCATCGACTTTCATCGTTTGACTCAAGCTTATCCTAAAATAACATAGTGTATTTACATAACGTAGTATATGCATTCCAAATGCCCATTAATATGCTAGGTAACTATATAAGTGGTTATACAACTTATAAATCAAATGTTTTTGTGACAGAGATGCGTTCAGATTCACGGAACAACGTCGAGGAAACGAACTTTGGGAGCAGCATAATGACGGCAGGGATGACGTGTCGCAAGTCCTCAAGAACGTCCTGTCAACGAGAACTCGAACTTACCGACTCGTCGTCGGTAAGTTTACTTTTTTTACCTCGCACATCGAATATATTTCTGTGTTTACGCTATAAAGAATATTTAGTGGAATTGATCTATGGCAGATCAGCGATGATACGTGTACCGGGTCGGATGGACAAGGTCGGAACGGCAGCGGGGCAATTAGGTCCGGTAACCGAAGGAAGCGCAAGTCCAGTGGCAAAGACAAGAATGTCCGGAGACTAGAAAGCAATGAGAGGGAAAGACTGCGAATGCACAGCATCAATGATGCCTTTCAGGTACACTGACATTATAATAGATAAAGTAGGTTGTGTGTTTACTGTATCCTAGTGTTATATATTTTATTTTAAAACAACACTAACTATTATCAAGAAACAATATTACTCTATTATTTTTTTTATTAGATTATTCATAACCTTATGGCTAAACATTAATTAATAATTCGGAAAATATTTGATGACCGGATATAAATATTATGAATATAAATGTACGAAATACAGTCCAGAATTATTCAAAATTGTAGGTATACAATTTTAAGTCATTTAAATTGCTTTAATCACACGAATTCACAAGTACACGAATTATATAATAAAATGTGTATGACTAAATTAGGGTTACGCAGTTACAGTTGATTACCGAGTTCAAATACATCAGTATATTAAGTATAATACATAAAACTATAAAATTAAAAAAAAATATGTTAACACGAGCAGATACATATTATACATTTTTAATAACTTCATAAAATGTACTTCTAGTTTTTAAGGCCTCAAAAACTTTACGATACACTAAGTTTCTTAAATTTGATATCGTAAGTTTATGTAATTGTTTATTTTTGACCAAACATTCTGAAAGTTCTAAAAGCATATAAGTATATTAGACATGCAGTAAACACGATATTTAGTGAATGGGTGGGGGAGAAAAACTGAATTTATTATTAAGTAGGTATCTCATTTTCAGTATGATTTGTGTTCTTTGACTAGACACTATTGATAATTATTAAGCCAATCTCAATTTTTAAATTTGTGTAGATATTTTTTTCATACAAAACTTTATTAAATGTTTATTTATAATGCCTAACTAATAGTTTAATCAAAACTATAAAATAAATTATTTTTTGTCACTTATATTACAGCTTTAATTAACTGTACACATTTCAACCATACATGTATTCGTATGGTTTTAATTCGTGTACAATAGTGGGGGGAGGAATTGCATGCGATTGGTATTCTCTACACTCAATATAGAGTAAAGCTTGATCACCAGCATCACCCCACCAAAATGGGATTCATGTCACGAATCGCTCCTAGAGCAAAAATTTCAATTTCATGCGTACCTTATTATTTTACACACAGAGCAGAAATAAAATGTACCAACATTTTTTTTTTATAGCACTATTAATATATTATGTACGTGTAAGCAAAAAATTAAACACTGCACAGGAATACAGTATAATATAATAAGGGCCCATTATCTACAAACTTCTTACCCATATAAAAACAAATTACCTATAGGTACCCAGTTCGTACCATATATTTGATATTCACGAGAAGCATAACTCAAGATGAAAAAAATATATTCATCAAATACTCTGCTGCGCCAATAAATTGTAAAGAGTCTTATGGTATACGTGTAAAATAAATATTTTTATAATGCCTAATATTGCACAATGGCAACCGTCTGAAAACAGTGTAGAAAATGTTCTGTACACGCACTGCGGATAGTACACGAAAATCCTATTTCCGTACAGATATCACAATAACAATAATATAGTAATATGCGTGTAATGTATATGATGGTGATTAACAATAAGTATTAGCTTGAGCAAAATGAAGAGATCCGCTGGTACAATACTGCGAAATATATGGTGGGCGTCTTAAATATTGTTGATGTTTACATGATGGTTATTATAATATCACATGGGTATGGTACATTATGCGCAAGGTAGAAGTTGAAATGAAGCGATTGTTTTGGAAGGCTTTTAGTATAAAAACGAAGAAGAACTGTTAGTTTAAACTTGAGTGCAGCGATGTAGGGGCGCGTAGGGTTACAGGCACAACGATGATTTGTTTATGTGCCACGCAGAGGACGAGATAAACGGTTATACACTTCACCAGTTACTATAGTAACATGTGAAAATTCAATTGTTATATATATATATTTGTGCGCGCGCGTGTGTGTGTGTGGTGTACATCCTACATAAACTAATATATACATCAAGAGGGTGAAAAAAATAAGGATTCTGTAGCCTACCTTTTAATTACGCTAAAACGTTGTATCAGAGTCGATGGACCAGTGAATAACGCCAACGCCCAAGAGAGGTGGAGATTAGAGTACATTTGCTTTTAGTCTTCATATGAGGGTACATAATAATTTTTTTAAACAGCAATATTTATAGGTACCTTTTAACCTTTATGTAAATTAAAAATTGCACAATATAAAATAAAACACCGTCATTTTTCAGTTTGTTAACTATTATGCATAATTGATTTAAGTTATAAAGCAATAAAACACGTTTTGTATAAAATAAATTACTACATTTTAACGATAAATATTATGTCAAAGCCTATATTATTGTTCGAAATACTAATTAATTAGTGGATGAAAATGTATTATGATTGTATAGGTATGTATATACAGTAATACTACAGTATAGGTACCTACCAATTAAGTAACATTTCAAGTAAAAAAAAAACTTCTAATTACCTACCTACTTAATTTAATTTGAATTTTCATTACCTATAACTTATAACTTATTATAAAAAGAATAATTCTATCAATTAATAGTTTCATTAATGCAGCTTATCTAAATCATAGCATTTAAAATTCATTCTCAATTAAGTAATTTAGTAATAAATAAAAATTATAAGGAATCTAATAAAATATTATATAAAAAGTATACTTTAATACTTGAGTTATAACATTGTGACATTTAAAAGTCAATATATTTTTTAAAATACCTCTTATTATTGTCTCAATTCATAAGAAAACTATATTCATAGAATAATAAGACACAAACACAATTCAGTGGCCATCATTATTTAATTAACAATTCGACGTTCAGAAGTTACGTTAATTATCAATCATATATCATAATATAAAAGTATTTATAGATTTTATCTTTTTACACGACATAATAGTTGCAATAATAATTTTTATGAGATTAAATATTCATATTTGCAGGCTTGCAGCTGTTTTAGTATTTCGTGGTTTCTGCAAAGAAAACAACAAATCATAGTATTTTAATCAAATTATATATTATTATATTATTATTATTATTCAATTATTGAGATATATTTTTTTCCATGATTCAAAATAATATATTTTTACTCAAAACTTATTTATCCCGACGATTTATTAAATCTAAATACATGTAACTATTAAGAGTATTATATAAATTAAATAATTTACTTACCATGGGCTAATATAAGGCCTATGCAATCTACTAGACCTAAGCTACAGCTAGCGGTGGACTAATAATATATACGCCTTTTTTATTGTTACCTTATTTTAATAATACTTTTGACAACAAACATGAAATAATGCATAATATTATATCAAATATAACCTCTATAAAGGTAAAGGACAAGATTGCCGGTCCTGTATAGTTGGGAGTGAAGGGCGAAGAAAAAGAAGAAGATTCAAAATATACAACATAATAATAATATGTTACATTCTCATAATATAGTCATGTATAGGATCGTAATAGCATAGTTCATTTGAATTTAAAAAGTATAGAGGCCAGAGATAAAATACATAAGATCATACAAGCATTATAATATATTATAATATTATTTAGAATGTCAAACCTAATATGCTGCTTTTGATAATAATAACAATAATGCTATGTTTTAATTATATATCATTTAAAGTAAAAAATTAATATAAAGATATAGAATATGTTTTTTTAAATATAAAATAAGTGATTTGAGCAGTATAAATATTTACAAATAAAACTGAATAAAAATGTCCTATAATACGTTGGTAGTCGTTGCTGTCATATATTTATCGGTACATTAAGACGTGGTGAACGATGTTCTGTACACGTTATAGTCTTCATTGGTGAAAATAAACAAATAAATAAAGTTAAAGCTAGAACTTAAATTTATTTGACTTTTTTAATTATCTAATATTATTTAATTTTCTTATAACAATAACTCAAGTTTTATTTTTACTTTCCCACAGTTCATATTACAATATAGTAATGATAGTAATCGGGATAAGATAATGTTTAATTGTAATATATGCTTACATAATATAGGTACTTAAAAAATTTTTTCGATCAAAAGCCAGAAACGGGTGAGAACTGTTCAACACAAGGTACCTAGAACCTACCTATATTATAATACATTTCTATAAATCCTAAAACCGAACACGATTTTCTCATTTCACATTTATAATGACTCTTGTCGTTTTCGTTCATTGCTCCCCAACGGCGATTAAAACCAATTGTTATTTAGTGACAAAATGGCGTTTAATTTGTAAAACGTAAATAAACCCAACAGAAAAACTCATTTATTGCAAAAGAAATAATAATAACATTTAGTCGAGTCACTGGACATTAAATAGATACATCGTATAACCAATTGTGCGTAAACGCTGGCGTTTTGATCCTTTGAATGAATAAAAACAATTCGCTCGGAATCGCATAGTGTACTTGTGTCAAGTACCTAAAAGAAAGTATCGTAACATAGGTACCTACCTATAAAACTATATGTTTTAGATCGTTCGATAAATGTATCAATCTACATGACTACATCAATGTAAAATTATTTTAATTTCCAAAATGAAATTGCGCAGTGTTGATAATAGTTACATATAGCTATTCCAAAATCGTATTAGGTATTAAATATGAATCTAGCGAGAACTGCAATTTTGATTTATTTTTTGATCAATAAAGAAAAAACACAAACTTTTTTAAACAGCATTGACATCGTCATGTCAGTGTTAATAACTAATTATGCTCATGAACCAATACAATAATGTTTGTGATAGTATTTTGATTGGAATAGTGTATTACAGGTTAATATCTCAACCAAATTAAGATATCATTATTGAATAATATGTTGATGGACCATTATACAAGAGACCAGAAGGTAGTTCCGCGGATTCGAGTGATTTGACACAACCACGAAACGTATACCTACGAAATAGTTTGTTTTTCTCAGCGATTCAATATCCATGATGATTTACCAAGCACAACCACCCCAATTGTTTCTTCAATAATTTATTTATTCAAATTCTGATTTTTGAAACTTTTAAATATGCTCAATGAGCCAATTTTTTTAAATTCTTGAATTTTTTTGTTCTACCTAAGGAGTATTCTGTGGCGATATAAACTTTATTTTTATTTCAAATGAGAGTACTAATTTATTACTGTAAATTATTAAGTGCGTAGTAGTCAAATTCGCAGTCCACAAGCTTTTTTTTGGCTATTCTTAGAAGACATCATATATACTAAATAATGTTAGTATTATAAGTATGATAAATTAAAAAAAACCTAAGGATAGCGCGGTGGCAGTACTAATCTATAATTATTCAATAATGTGATAACTTGTTTATTATATTATATCATTATAATATGTTTGTTATAAAATAATATAAAATAATATTTTTTTCTTTTATCCCCTATAATATTTATAAATGTGTAAATTTACCAACCAACTACAAATGACTGGACCACCCTGATTTAGTCGATTATTTTTTTAAATATGTGGATGCGTCTATTCGAAATTTGAATAATAAGTTTCTCAGTTATTAATACGTTAATACTAAATTTTAAAACTGAATGGTCCTTAAAAAAATATAAAATAAATATAACATTGGATAATGGATATAATAGGTATTTATTATACTTGGATCATTTTTCAAACTATTAATATAGGAATCAGTAACTTATATCTTACAATTACAAACCCATTATTATGGACCTTTTATTCTTAGTATACAAAGTTAAATAACTTAAAAACCACACGAACAAATTTTGGTTTTGATACGTCAACATTTTAAGAAAAAAATACCCTCTAAATAATTTATTGTAGAAAAGAAGAAAGGAGTTCTCATTTGAAAAACAGGAAATTTGTATCTCCATAGTACACTTTTTGAGTAGTATAAAACATTTCAAGAACTTAAAGAGAAGAAAATAAAGTCTATTTAAAATTTCCAAAAAACAGATTTTGAATAACTGCAATATTGAATGAAAAAAGGGTGAGTATGTTTGAAGAATCTCCCTGTATATATTTTTACTTATGTGTAATTGGTGAATACGTAGTAATAGGAACTTACTTTATACTATTTTACTGTAAGTCTGTAACCATTAAAACCATGCGTGACCTGGATCTGCAGTGTGTGCCAGGTGCTAGGCTGTTGAGTACAAGCATATGGTATAACTGACATATTTTCCGAATGACTCAACAATCGTATTATATCAAATAATAATTAATATTTGTTAATAAAATGTAATATGTAATAGTTCATAAATACCTATATACATACGAATTGTATACCTATACCGATACCAATTTTAAGCTTCGCTCGACATATCAGTGGCAAATTATAATTTTAAAGAAATCTGTACTATATACTTACTAACTAACTTGTGGAAAGTTTTCATTTTTAATCTGGTTCTTTTGAAAACAGATTCAAAAAAACGTTGCATTACTTGAATTCATTAACTAGCATCCATTGATTTTGACTTTATGCATCGCAATCTGAAAAAATATTGTACCTATACCAACTTTGTAGATTGCCTAAAATTTAATTGATCTAACTTTTACGTATAAATAATAAATATATAATTATTATTATAACCATTAACCACCCTGCATTATTGCCGACAACTTCTAAAAATTACTTTCATTATTTGCGGACATTGTACAATTATTTAGAATATTAAAGTAGCTTAATTGTATAGCTCATATTTTTTTGTTTTTTTTATCGTTAACATTTTCACTATAATATAATAGTTTAAATTAAGGAAAAAATTTAAAAGACATATCTTTCACAGAACTTAACCGGGTCAGTTCTCAACTAGTAAAACAAAGCAATCTTTTCTCTTAAATTGTTTTCTTTTCCTGTGGTTTTTTTGTTCGGCTATGTTGCTGAGCTCGAAGTTATGTAAATTTCACTATGAATTCTAAGTGAAATTCCTATTAAGAGAACGCTGTACAGACATTATTGTGGCCTCCGTCTTACAAGAGCGTAACATAGCACATTTTACGAGTTGTGAGTATTTTAAGATGGATAAACAATTTACAATTTACAATTTTAAGATACTCATCTTAAAAACTCGCTTTAAAATGTAAATATAATTTTAAAAAACCAAGAGCTGCCCTAGATAATAATCTGACCTTTTAATTTTATAAGAGTTCAATTTCTCTAATTTTTAAACTTACGGGGCTAAACGTGATCTGCTGAGCTTAAAATTTGATATGTGGCGCGCTTGTAAGACGGAGATAACAAAATGTCTGTGTAGAATCCACTTAAAACAAAAATGCTTGGGTGAGCTGCATCAAAACTCACATCTAATTATTATGCATGAAACTTTCATAACTATTTGAAATTACTCTAAACTCAGCCCAAGTATTAGTAAGAAATAATTCATCTTGTTCAATATCAAATGTTTCCATGATATAATCATTAAATTTATCTAATTTATTTAGTAAAATATTACCTGATTCGAGTATTATTAAATAACACCGAGGACCCAACTCGTGTTTAATTTAAACGATCAAATATCTCGGGACCCAACTCAAGTTTTTCCCCAAGTTGCGAGTTGATAAATTGTATAAGGCTCTGTGGCGCAGCGATAACAAACAAGTACCAATTTTTTAATACATTTCATACTACAGGAACTCCCTCCCAGCACATTAATTACTTTTTGAATTATTTAGTTGTATTCATTTTTATTTAATTAATGCCAATTTTATAATTGTATTGTTAAAGATAATATATGTTAATAAAATAAATACAAACAAAAATCCAAAGCCCAAGAGGGAAGGACATGCATTCGTCGCCTGTGTACATGCTACTTAGCTGTACTTAATGCCTCTACTATAGTCCTATAATTGTATCCAATTGTATTTAACCTTTATGATATCGTTTACAGTCCCTCAGGGAGGTGATACCACACGTCAAAAAGGACCGGCGGCTGTCAAAAATCGAAACTCTCACTTTGGCCAAAAACTACATCATAGCCCTGACAAAGATCATATGTGAAATGAGAGGCGAACTGGATCCATTCAAGGACTCGCAGGAAGAATCCGGTGGTGCAGCTGTGTCCTCAGCCTCCACGAACACAGGGCCATCGTCGTCTATAGCGGCGGCAACAGCTGCGGCGGCCGAAATCGACAGACGGCTACAATTAGCGTTACAAAACTCTGACGAATCAATGGACCTTTCTTAATGGACGACGAAGCAGCCTCCTGTGTGGCCGCCACCATCATGACCACAAATCCATCGCAACCACCACCAACCGTACTTACATATTATAATTTGCTTATCTATAGTATGTAAGATACTTATAAAGATGTGTAGATACAACTCAAAAGTCAGTTTTCTCCGTTTCTATCATTTCATAGCCCATAGGTATACACACGAAAACGTTTTCCTCAACCAAAAATCATTAATAATAATAGTGTAGGTACCTATCTGTAGTCGCATGTTACAGATAATGTCCCAATTGGCCATAGCTTTTTAGTTTTTACACAAAGGGTTATCAATCAACAACTAGTTTTCTAGTCAGTAAAAAAAATCGAAACACCAATACACGCTAATAACTATTAATTATAACTATTTTATTATTATTAAACTATATTTTAGACATAGAAAAAATATTATAATTTTATGTAAAACGTATAAAATGGCATTATTTTTGGATTCATATAATATAGTAGGTAATATATAAGTATTTGTCTATATTACATTCATTTATGAAGGTCTATGTAACTTAATGTCTGTATGAAATACAGTTATGATCATTACATGAAATAATATAACAATAATATTTTATCGTACCTATGCGATACGAAATTAATTATTTAATTTCATCCACCTCGTCCGTGTTTGATATATTCATCAAATTGTAAAACATAAATGGCAACTAAAAAAATAGTGATTATAAGCTCGTAATTATCATGATTTAAAAAACCTTTAGAAAATTCAAAATAATAATGGATTTCAAGGTGCTCAAATAAAAACTAAAATCCTCGTTAATTTAAATTTATATACTCTGACTTTCTCTGTTTCCTTCCATTTATTATACATGTGACATACCCCATCTCCTTAAAATAATACGTCACAATTGAATTTAAATAAAAAATAAAGTTTTCATAAACACTAATAAAATATTATCGTTATTAATTAATTTATCTCAAAGAAGAATACTGAGCCTGTAGAACCCTGCTAGAAGTAGGTATGTCTTCCGGAGGGCCTGAATGGTTTAAAGTGTTTAAACGCAATAGATAACTATTTATTATAATAATCAATGAGTATAAATAGTATTATATGTTTATTTTTTAGACATATTTTATCTTTATGTAAATTACAAGGTTTAAACCATACAACTATAATACAAGTGTGTTTATATAACTGTATTATTTATGGTGGATAATAAAATAATACAGATAAACAATGTGTCAGTAAAATATGGTTATTGTTTAACTAATATTGAATTGTATTGATGTATAAATAATACTTTATAACATATTATATATATTTCTTAGGTCAATATCTTATATAATACCTATTTTATTTATAAAACCCGTACCGGAATTTTTAAAACTTTTTGAACTCTGGGTTTCCTGTGTACCTAAAAAAATATTCTGGGGGTCCTAAAAAACATGCCACTAAGATTCTTACTTATTTTTATTAAAAAACAAATGTTTTATTATTTATGATGTATAGAAATTTAAACAAATCTTTAGCTGTCCAAATAATCCTTAAGATATTTCTATAGTTCTAATTCGTGATCTAGTCATCTGAGCGCGTCACTAATATTATGCTAACTATTCTGTTTATGCCATTTGGCATTTATGGTACTTCGATATCCGCATAATGTCGAGGATAGGTACTGTTTTAAGTCGACGGCGCCCTGGTTTACAACAACGTAAAGCCATAAAGGTAATATATTACGGGGTACCTAACTCGTATACGCCTACTAGTCGATGTATGATGAAAGCTTTTATTACCCGTTTTTTATTTCTTGGAATAACATTTAGCTTCAAAACTATTTATTTTTAATAACCATACACATAATGTTAACTAAAGTAAACATATTTTACCGTGATATAATTTATTGTTACCAAAATTCAATAAAAAAACAAAATTTTTTTTAAGAACATGTATAAAATGATAAGCCTTATAAACAAATCAATGAATCTAATATTATTATTATTAATATTAATAAATAAATAAATAAATAATTATTATAAATGTTAATCGAAATATTGTATACTATACCTACGTACTAGCTTATTTTAATTTAAACAAATACCAAATAAAACTATAATAATCTTTTTTAATTATTTTTCTAGAAGTGTCAAAATTATTAAAAATTTATTTAGTTAAATCATTTTTATGAATATTTGAAATGCGTTTAATATATTTTGCTCGATATAAATTAAATATACGGTGAGCATGCTTAAAATATATTGTTAGAAACGCCTGCCCATCACCTAATTAGTACCACTCTAAAATTATTATCTATTACATAGAAAAATATAGATTATATTATACTTTAAAAATTTTCTTTAAGTAAAATGTTTTTATTAAATGTAAATGTATACTTTTTATTTATTTATTTTGTATGTTATTAATAACCAAGTGTTTATACACCGCTGGTTTTAAACTCTTATTATGTAGAGGGTGTACTAGTAATTTTAAAAATCCCAATACATTATGTCAACGATATGACGTATCCTACTTTATATTATTGTGGAATAATTCATATACTTATTATAGTGATGGTATTATATAATAAAACAAATATAATTTAAATAAATATATTGTTCTCAATATTATTCCTATATAGTCAAATAAATATTATATTTTTGTTTAACACAAAAAATCGTATTCATTTTATTGTATCCTACTTTATATTATTGTGGAATAATTCATATACTTATTATAGTGATGGTATTATATAATAAAACAAATATAATTTAAATAAATATATTGTTCTCAATATTATTCCTATATAGTCAAATAAATATTATATTTTTGTTTAACACAAAAAATCGTATTCATTTTATATCTCCCGCCTACTCTTAATCTGCAGGTATACTGCAGCATGTAGTATCCAATGAAAAATGTTGTTAGGTATTTATTATACAGATACTTTACTACATGCTTAAAAAAAAAATATGTGGTACCTATGAAGTGTAACCCACCATATTAAGGTAAATATTTAATAATGAAACATTCAAGCACAAACGTTATAGAATCCATTTAACTCTATAAATTTTATAAATAGAGTAAATTGACTTGTTATCAAATTTTAAATTAAGAATATTATTAGATATCTCTAGTAGGTTTATTTTTTATATTTTAATTTTAAAGAGTTATCGGCATTTTAAAATTGTTCGTTGTTCATGGATACCTACACCCCTTATTTAAATGCTCATAACACACTTTAAAATTCAAATATAAAAACGAACCTAAGTTATTCACCAGATAATAATCTTATTTTTAAATTTGATAATAGGTGACCATTCACTCAAATAATAAATGTAACATACAATTATAAATGTATTATTCAGAAAGTACAATTCGATACCTATGTTATGCATTTGTAAAGCGGAGATAATGAAGTGAGTGTACCCATTGTACATACAATACTAAACAAAAAATAAAAAAGGGTTGAATTATAACATAAAACATTTAATGTAGCTGTAGTATGTAGAACTAGAAGCTCTAGAAGCGAGGGCAAAGTGTGTTATTATATTATCGTACCTACCTTCTATTGGTCATATTATTATAGCCTATTGCCTATAGGTATTGACAGGCCAATTTTACCCAAGCACCTGAGGACCAAATAATCAAAGGGCCCGCTTTATTATACATTGACTGCCTATCTATACTGCTTAAACACGTTGGTCGTTGAGTGCCACGGTCGGCATGTAGTTGACAATTAGTGTAGGCATCTTTATGCCGTTAATGGCTTATAAATTCACTCAGCCATCAGAGATTCAGAGCAATGCTTCTGTTTTCATTTGTGGTTATTCAGTAAAATGAATACTTTTAAACTGAGTGTTTGGATTGAGTTTTCATTAATTATTTGCAAAACTAGGTACGTTTTCATTCCCCAGGAAACAGTTATGGTCGACGGCAATCGAAATACTACCTAGGTATATTATTTTATACCTATTATAGTATTATTTTCATAATTTAAATTTTTTTTAATAAGAAATATTAATTAAAATACTATTTACTATTAAAATAAGGTGCATACAATAATATAATTTAATGTCGTGTAAAAATGTAAAAATGATTATTATTTATGGAAAGCCGCTTTAGGTAAGTGTAACAACTATAATTTTAGTATTTATGCTATAGTTATTAAGAGCTACCAGCACATTTTTGTAAAACTTATGTGGATTGAATATCCTGAAATAGAATGTACATAAAAAAGGGGCCCCTTGCTCAGTGGCGTAGCCAGGATTTTTTTTCGGGGGGGGGGGGGATCAATTTTTTACACAGCGGTGGTTTAGTTTTTGATTGAGTACCATAAACCATTAAAATAGTTGTAGCCCCCTCAGCCTCCCCCATGGCTACGCCACTGCCCTTGCTTGATTCAGCCAGGGCCGCAAAATATCTCTCGACCGGCCTAGGTAAGCATTAATATAGGTGGTACCTGATATCTTAGATCATATAAGTGTAAGTATTAGACTAGTACCTATAGATAGTAGTATATTATCCTAGCCCTATAAGTTATAAATATGATAAGATGATAATCATAGGGGCAAATAGACAAATTATTTTGGGGGGAATAAAGCCCCTCCTATATTTTCTAAAAATTATAAATGCTCAGTACTAATTACTGGCTTTTGAACTGGGGGGACTTGGCAGAAATGTGGGGAGACTAAGTCCCCTCAAGCCCCCCCCCTATTTGCACCAATGATGATAATATTCAATACGATACATAGCTAAGTAGCTAACTACCAACTAGTCGGATATAGTTATGTGAAGTGTAGCTACCTATTATAGGAGTATTGGCTATTATGCCTACTGAAAAAATTGTAATAAAAAATAGGTATATTAAAAACTATTTTTTTTTTTACTCTACAAATGTCTACTGCTACTTTGCAATCTACAAGTCTACATCATGAAACCGATTCAATGACATTCATCTAATCGTCTTTTAAATGATAGGAAGAACTGAAAAGCTACTTTACGGGGTTACAAGAATATTTATCCTATACACAAGGTTAAATTTTTCAAGTCCAAAGTAAATCAGTCTATTATTTTTAATATTCAATGTACTTTTATTCCGTAAGAAGTCATCTTAATGACTTAATATGACACTGATTATATCACTATAACTTATTGTTAAGGGGATCGGTGGCGGTGACGACTGTCTTTGTCTAACACACGCGCAACATAAGAATTCAGAGGTGTTTTTTGGCAAATTTACCTATTGATAAAGTGAAGCGATAAGAATTCTGAAAACAGATTTGAATTTGTTGTCAAGTCTACTTGAGATCGGTCAGTCTACATTTTTGATTTTAGATTCTGAGTGAAACGATAAAAAAAAAATAAAAAATAAAAAAACATTCATCGTTTCACTCAGAATCTAAAATCAAAATGTAGACTGACCGATCTCAAGTAGACTTGAGTACTTGACGACAAATTCAAATCTGTTTTCAGAATTCTTATCGCTTCACTTTGTCAATCGGTAAGTTTGCCGAAAAACACCTCTGAATTCTTATGTTAGACAAACGTGTGCTAGACAAAGACAGTCGTCACCGCCACCGATCCCCTTAAATATTTCAGTGATGACCGTACGGTTGTGGAAGAACATTTCAAACTACGCATCTAGTACAAAATAATAAATAATAGCTATTCAGTACCTATATACCATTGATTAAATATACTTAATTAATATTTAATCAATGCATAAACTACTTTTCAACTAAATATTTATTAAGGAAAATGTATTTTTCAAATGAACATCTACTCAAAAAATGCCCAAATGTACTTTAGAATTAGCTCTGGTTCAAAAATATATAGGTATTACATTTTTTTCAAAATGTATACTTCAACCAATCAAATAAATCAATAGGTATAATATTATAATTTAACAGTAGTGAAAATAACTTAGCAATTTTTATTACACATGTGTATGAGAACAAGTAAATATTTAAATTGATATTTAATAACCTAATTTGAGATATATTTTTATAAAATATTTAGTACTTTAAATTAGTATCACTCAAGCCATTGGGTATGATATAAACTCTTAAATATTATAAATACTTTAATATTTTTACTTAATATATTATTATGAAAAAAAAAACACACACAAATATTTGATCAATAAACATATAATTATATAAGTAATTAAAATATGTATATACACATGTAGGTAAATACTAAATAGGCAAATTTAATAATATATTTAAATATTTTTATAAAAAATAATAGTCACTAATAAGCAGGGCTCTGAAGTTATAGCAACAAAAAGAAACTTTAGGCGTTTTAATATGTACTATAAAATATTAAAATACTTTTTTATCATAATATTTATGTATAGTAGTATAATGGTATATCATATTATACAGTAGATATATGGTGGATGTAGAAATTAAGAACAGCCTGTTCCTTTACTACAATAATAGTTCACTTCAATAGTTAAATATACAAATGTTTCCAATAAATTTCCAAGCATTCTAATTTTGGACATTAATAATAAACAAATACAGTGTGATCATGATTTAAGGTAACACACAATATTTTGGCCCGATGAACTTGTATTGAAATAAATTTATGGGGGAACATAGGTGGTATTGAAATTCATATTTTATGAAATTTTTAATACTTACGGTGATCATTCGATTTTGAACTTAGAGCCAAGTATTATGAGTCAAATCAACTTGAAAAAATTCAATCAATCCAAATGATGTGCTAAAAATTGGTGCTACCATTAAAACATACATTTTGCGCTGCGCATATGCGCAGCTTAAGTGTAGAAATTTGAAAATTTTACAAAATATGTACTTCAATACCCCCTAGGTTCCTCCCAAAATTCATTTCAATACAAGTTTGTTCGGCAGAAATATTTAGCGTTATCTTAAATTGTGATCACACTCTACAACAAAAAATCAAAAAAATGTGTTTCATTTCATTTTTTTGTGAGTATGCCAAAAAATAGCAAAAATTAGCACTTAAAATTCAAAATAAGCAAAATAACACTATAAACAGTTAATGTTAAAATTACCAAAATACAATTTTATATATATTAGTGAAGTGTGAAACAAATGTGTTTTAAACCTTCCTTTAGATTTTCTAAGACTTAAAAAAAATATATGCATTTGCTAGAACTTTCAAACCCTGCTAAAAGTATACACTTTTTAACACATATTTGATCAATAATCATCAAATTTATTTATTTTTATGATTATTTATTTATAATATTATACCAAATAAGCCGTTTTAAAAAAGTAAAAAAAAATAGTTTTAAATAAATTTACATTTTTATAATGATTATTAATAGTTATTTGTGATTTTATGGTTTTAAATAACAGTAGCTTAATAATCACATTACATGTGTCAATACATGTGGTGATAATGTATTTACTCCTTCTACTGAAGCCTCAAAATAATCATTAAAAAATAAATAAATTAAATATATATGTATGATTAGTTTGAACTTCAAGAGGGGTAGATAGGAAAATGGCAAGAGAAGAATGCATTAAACTTGCAACTTGTTCACAATGTCTACACATATACCTATTCATACAACAGTCAACTAACATGGAGCTAGAAATTAAAAGTATTTCATATCCTATTGGAATATTATTAAAATTAAAATAGATAACTAATTATTGTATTAATTAAACAATAATTTGTAATACTGTTAAAGAAAAATTAAACATTACATTTTTAATTTAAATGCCATTTTGTTTTTTTAAATTTTGATCAAGTTATATCATGTTTGAGTGTAAAGAATTATCATTTCTTATTTCAATGGAATCATTAAATAAAGAACTACAATAGGTCTGTGTTTGAATATTGGTAAATTCTAAATCCCCAAATAGACATTCAGACTCAGCTGTCTGAGTATAGATGTCTAAAAAGTCAAAATTGGTTTGTGTTTCCGAATCTAAAAACAATGGATCTGGATCAGTTTTAATAGAGTCACCCGTAGGATCGGTTTGAGTTTGTGCACATAATCGTTTTATAGGACTAGACGTAGCAGAAGAGAGTTTTGGATCATTGTATCTTAACATGCAATCCTTATTTTCAAATGTAGTCTGAGTTGACGAATCTGATAAAGTTTGAACATCAGTAACAGTTTGTGTCTGGGTAGATCTTTTCCTAGATTCTAATTCTTGTAAATCGTCTATATTTGGCAACAATTTTCTTGTCTTCAAAAATCTATATAAAAAAATAGGAATAAAAAAAATTATACAAACATTTTATAAAATATATCAAACTTCATAATAGTTGAGTATCCTAATCCAATGTTATGCTGTTTTCGTTTTGTATGAGTGAGAAACGCTTCTGGAGACTTGTATTGTACGCCACAATAGCAAGAATAAATTACTCCACATGTAATACGATGTGACTTTAATGTGGATTCTAAAGGAAAACCTTTTTCACAATTATCACATTTGTATTTTTTGTCGGAATGCACTTTGATACAGTGCTATAAAATTAAAAAAATATATTAACAGTTAAAAATATTCAAAGCTAAAATTGTAAACAATATTGTACAATACTTACTTGTTTGAGAAGTTTTTGAGTTTTAAACGATTTTATATATTGACCATAATGTAAGTTGTACTTACAACCCAAAATTGGGCAGTAGTATGTATCGTTAACAATTTGACCACTGTTTCTTTTTAGATCGCTTTCCGACAACACCATAACTAAACAATTTTTTGACATACCTTACAATATTCTATACTTACACTTACCACAAATTGTATGTCAATACTACAAAAATAACCTTAAATGCGCGTAATCAAAGTTAATATGAATTAAATAGAACACGGTCCAGACCGTGAGACAGACTATTGATTATTGAACTAAATTCAAAACAATTTTTTAGTACAATGAAAAATAAAAATATAATTAAAACGATTTGTAACTATGGGGTGGACTGTCAAGATAACACCACAGAATAACACCAAAATCGAGATAGATTGCATAATCACGAGTGATAAGGCTTATTGATATAATTTCTATGATATTATTTTGTCAGTACTCAGAATAAAAATCCCCCGGTGAACAACCCCAGAAAAAATATCCCCTGACTACAATATTACTCACAAATACATGCAAATTATTGAACAATTAATTTTTTTAACTTTAATTACCTAGTGTACTTACCAACATTATTTATTTAATTACAAATATATACTTATAGACTATAGTGTAGTAATAAATACTTAAGAGGGCGCCACACCCGCATGCGTTGTCTCCGTCTTACAAACGAGTAACATACCAAATTTACGCTCAGCAGTTCAAGTTTTATGTCGTTAGCTTAAATATTAGATTGAATTTACCTATTATGAAACTTGATGGTAAGAACTTTATCCGTGTTTTGTTGGAAGCTTTTTTTACGATACTTCAGTTTTTAAGCGAGGTATGCTTGTATAATAAATGTAAATTAAAAATGCTCATAACTCACTTAAAAACTGAATTATTGTAAAAAAACTTCCAACAAAACACAGATAAAGTTCTCACCATCAAGTTTCATAATAGGTTAATTCACTCTAATTTCTAAGCTAACGGCATACAACTTGAACTGCTGAGCGTAAATTTGGTATGTTACTCGTTTGTAAGACGGAGACAACGCATGCGGGTGTGGCGCCCTCTTAAAAGTTAAAATTTAGAAAATTTTCAATTTTTATAGCTAAGGATTGAAAATGTAAAATATTACATACCTACGTTACTTTAAATTGCATAACTATAATGTAAATAAAATATTTTGACATATGGCATACAGTTATGGAGTAATGCAAAAAAATCAAACGCAAATAAAATACAAACATTTCAAAACATAGCACTCAGGAAACTTTTAAATGCTCCTCCTTACGTCTCAAACGACTCAAACCACACTATTCACATCGATCTAAAAATGAAATTGGTACACGAAGAAGCTATAGCCCATTACCGATGCTTCCACAATCGCCTTTTCTCTAATAGCAACCCGTTAATACGAAAAAATCTCGCAATCCTTTCTATTCCTGGAAACCCACCCAGACGTTTAAAACGAAAATGGAGTCATGACCTACTTGTTCACACCCCTCCCATCAATTAATCACAAATCAGAGCTTCAGTTGCTTAACTAATTGTATATAAAAAAAAAATCAATATTGAGTGTCATTAATGGATGACTTCTCACGTCAAGCGTATCATGTGTAAATTACTCTAACCATATAAACTTATTGTGCACCTAAGGTATAGATGGTTTATCTCATATAAAAAAATAAAAAAATAAAAAAGGAAGCTATTTACAAGTTTTACTTTATACACATATTTTATAAAAAATATTTCGAGTACATTAAATAATAATAAAATAATTATCAAATAATAGTCAATTAATTTAGGTAGGTACTCACAATTTTGTAGTCTGGGGATTTTTATATTCCGCGATTCTATTTTGTCATCTCGATCACGGCCTTGGACGCACGCTATACATATTAAAATATATTTAATACTTAAATTATTTATAAATTTATTTTAATATATTAATATATATGTTAAACTGAGTGTCGCCCGATTGCGACCCAAAGTAACCTTTTTACCTTTTCTCCTATCCCAATTGCGGCCCCTACACATTAGGTAAGAAACTATCTATACAGTGGTTATCAAAACTAAATAAATATCCCGGTTGCGTTCGATACGTATTTTGACATAAATATATTACTATTGTATTCACGATTCCCACGATCACCAATATTCGGCGTGGTAATTTCCAGTCCATTAAAGATAAAAAAAATTAGATTAAATGTAAGACTAAATATATATTATTCACTGTCTTGTAAGAAATACTTGTATATTTATTCATATATTTGTGATAGTAATCATAAACGAGACATTTTATTTGAGTTGCATATACAAATATGTCTAATACAAAATGTATTAATTATAAGCTATTTTGTGAACCAATGTGTGTTTGGACGGGCCGCAACCGGGATACTTATATTTGGGATAAAATACGACTACCTGTATTCCGGCCGCAATCGGGCAACTCCGGTTAAACTGTGCTTAGAAAAGAAGGTCGGGACACTTCCCTACACGGATACACTGAGATAGATAATATACACTGGAGGGTGGACTCACCTATCTCAAAATGAAAAAAAAAACGGGACATCCTGAATTTTTTTTTAATTTAAGGAAAAAACTGCTTAAGTAAAACATTATTTTAAATTTTCAATCCTTAGCAATAAAAATTGGCAAAACCCAATGAGCCACTCAGCCGTCACGCATCAGTTGGCAGTCGACGGCCGTCGTCCCTCAATCGGTCATAACATTGTTATCAACAATTTATAAATATATGTTACTAAAATAAAATACGACTATTTGTGACTGATTAATATTACAATACATTTAAATAGGATAACACCAAATATTCAATTTAAATAATACGGCCAACAGGGGTGGGGGGGGGGCAATTGCCCCTACCACCCGGCTGGATCCACGCCTGAGTTGCATGTCCCAATTACAGTGGTTGCTGGCTATGACACTTAGTAATGAAACAATTGTGCGATTCTCCCCCTCAACTTGCCTGTAAGCTTGAGGATAGCGGGTAGAGTTTAATGTTTGGTGAATCCATCGTTCGTTACAGAACGGTTTGAACGGTTTGGCCGTAAAATACCCAACTCGGTAATTTTCCGGTTCGGTATACCTCGTTCGAATCGCGGACGTTTCGCCCCCGCCGTTTCGTCCCCGTCAAAAAAACAAGTCCACGGACGTTTCGTCCCCGTCTATTATTAAGATAGGACATTTGGCCCCCGGGAGTTATATAGATTTATTTATACCTACCCATAGGACGTTTGACCCCCGGTTAGGTTAGGTTATTACTAGGGCTCGGATTTATATGTATTTATATAACCAAAGTATGTATTTACACAATAAAAATATGTACATAAATATGTGCTAAAGAATTCAAAATATATATTATAAAAAAAAAAAAAAAATGATCAATTGCTATGGATTTTTCACAAGCAGTACAATACAAAATGTGACCGTCACTTTTTAAAATAATGTTCATTTGGATATTCAGAAACATATTTTATTGCTTTGCAAGACGATCGTACTTTTAAATATAACGAACA